TATATTTGAAACAACATATTATATATGAAAACATATCCAAAGATTTGACGAAGCCTGTCTTTTATGGGGATAAAAAGGATGATATCGATAGATTTCTTTTTGATTATAGAAGATACGCTAAGTCAAAAAATTGGGACGAGGAAACAAAATATAGAATAGTAGTCATACATATATCTGATAAGACAAAGACGTGGGTTAGAAAATTAATAAGGAGTTGTAATAACAAGTGGGATACTCTGAAAGATGGAATAGTGAAAGTAATTAATGCCAGAAGTGATGAAAAGTTAAAAATAAATCGTCTTAAAAATATTAAACAAGGTGAAAAGAAAACATTATGAGATTATACGAGTAGATTCAAAGCTTATTCGGATGCTGTAAAGAACAAGATAAGAAGTGATAAGCAACGGAACTGATACTTGGATAGAATGCGAGAGGCATATCAGTTGAGAGTGAAAAATTTCTGCTCAAACAATTTCGCAAGAGCCAAAGAATGTGCACTTTAAATCGAGAATTTTCAAAGAGATAGAGAATGAAATGATAAAAAGGGTCTACCTATAGCTAGAGAAAAATCTTATTCAAGTGATTCAAACATCGACGGTATTGCTGTCACTCTCAAAGCTCTTACTATAAACTAGGTTAAACAAGAAGTTAATAATGATAGTAAAATTGATAAGATTGAATTAGATATTAAAGAACTGGTGAAAGTGGTTAGAGAACTTACTAGCAACAATTCATCTACATTCTATCATTCAAGAAGCCCAAATTCTGTGCAAAGCCCAAGATCCCAAAGAAGAAATGTTGATAGTTGTCGATGCTTTAATTGTTAACAGGAAGGGCATATTTTATGCAACTATTCAAATAGAATGCTACAAAATTTACATGTTGAATGAGAGGATGAACAGAGAGATGTAAGGAACGAAGGTGTTAAAATAGCAGGAGCAAACATTCGATATTTTGAAGTGACATCAGGGTCAGATAGTTCTGGAGTCGAATGCTTGAAAGTTGAGATAGTGAAGGGAGAACCTATATTTAATGTAAGAAATTAGAATCTAAAGAAAAGAAAGCGAATACTTCAGATACTAACTTAATTAGTTAACTTATTAAATAATCCCTACTTTCCGTTAAAATTTCAGGACCGATATTCAGTATATTACTATTTTCTACCATAAGGTGCATAACTAACTCTGGGCCCCAACATTAATGACTCCTTCATTTTCTTAATCCACACTCCAATAAATGACCTGGCCATGATGTTTAGTTTCTTCAAGTTGATCGTCATTAATCGGCCTCAGTTCTTGCAGCACTAATTAATCACTATTGTTGGCTTTAATTATGACTTCTTTATACTTGGTGTCCATTTTTTCTATTTTAGGTTTGTCAACTTGAACCCTTCGTACCAACAATACACTCATATCATCATTTTCATCATCACTTTCAAATTTGTCATCATCATTATTCCAGGACCTTGTCCAACTTTCAGGTACAGTGGTGGTAACAAATGATACCTCTTTATACCTGGATGCGATCGAGTACCAATACTAATTATTTCTCCACTTCAAATCATATTTCACTACAGCAATTCATGACATTCCTAGCAACATGTCAAAACTAGCAGATTCTATAACATAAAATTCTTGCATGACTTTCACTCCTTTGGCATTAACTTCTATATTTGATATGTATCCTAGGAAATTACTAATACTATCATCAACTATCCTTCCTTTACCACTAACTGATTTCTATGTCAATTCTCTTCCCTTAGCATATCTTTCGTGCATTAGATTTAACCTTGATCCAGGGTCAATTGGAGCATCAGTTCTTTCTCCGTTAATAGTTACTATGCCTATAGGTACATCTTCATTTTGTTTTACATTCATTGCCTGAACTGTATGGACAATACTTACATTTGTATCCATCATTGTGACATCATTCTCTTTTCTCTTACAAGTCAATGCCTTTAGAATTTCGGACCTGGCTTTCGGGAACTACTTAAACAGTTGTCCCAGTGTTAACATTACTTCTAATTTAGCAACCTTTCTTAAAATATCAAGCTCTTGACTTAACTCTGCTAATGGTATGTACGTTACAGAGCTCAGAATACGTGATTTGACAGGATTACTGTTGTTTCCATTACCTTTTTCCTTTTT